CATAATAATTGGTACACGATTCCAAAACAATTATGTATTTTAATAACCTATACAATATAACATAAAATATATTATATTGGCATGCACATTATTGACATTTGAATAACAATTAAAATAAATAAAATTTAAATATAAATAATCTACATTACGATTACGACTCGTATAAAAGTCGGCCTTCGTGCGAATGGTAGCGTACTCTGGTGATCAATTCTGAACTACCATACTGCCGCGATTTTTTGCGTCGATATTGTAACATTGAGAGATACGAGATTGGCGTCACCTTATCTTCTCTAAATCGTGGTTGTAACTAAGAACTCTACTTCAAATTAAGTTCAAATTATTTTTCGAAATATTCTACCGAAAAACTTGAAAATTCATTGCAAACATTTCAAGTAAATCACTTGATTCTCCAGTTTAATCATAAAATTTGATGAATATTTTATAATTATAAAATATATTATACACTTATTAATTATTATCGGGTATTTTCTGTCTATTATAGATACACGTAAGTCTATTTATTTATCTTAGATAAAAATTTCAGTCATCTGCTAAAATTTATCTAGATATTTTATGTAGAAAAAATTATTTTTAATATATTTTATTTTTGTGTCTGATAATTACTTATTACTATATTGTACTATTTTCGATCGCATGGGTAGTTAACAATTTATAGGTATTTTATAAATTATAATATTGTGATTCTATTAATAATTTTGTTTACCACGAGTTTTACCAAGAGTGCTTTCAGACGATACAGTTTTTCGCCTCTAGTTGCCGGATACTGTGTGACTGTGTCTGAGCCACTAAAATTACAAGAACAACAAATACAGAAACAATAATATTTCTATTACTAACGATTAGGGTTGGGATACGTCGCGATTTGGCGGGACATTCCCGATTTTTAATATACATACTTGTCCCGCGTCCCTTTTCAATGTTTCGCGGGATGCGTATGTCATGATTTTTATGAATTTTTTAAGTTTTTGTCCCGTGTCCTGTCTTACAAGCCAGCGGGACAAGAAAGTCCCGATTTTTTTACAACTACTTGGAACAAAATATTTGTAGCATCTAACATTAAAACAATATTGATTTGTTTTTAGATTTTATAACTATAATTACTTTTTAAAGAATAAAGATTATAGGAAATACCTGCCTACGGCTATCGTTTTAGTTTAATCTTATCGTATAGACTATTACTATGTACTAACTATCTTATCGACTTTTACATTTTTGCTATATTACATGGCCAATATAGAAAACTATGCATTACCATGACAAAATAATGGTATGACAGCAATATTTCATTCTGATGATTTTCTGCGCAAATATGGCGTACGTTATTCTCCACTTCTCATAGGTCGAGAATTGATCACAAGACTTATCAAATATGCATAATTCGTTTTGTGATAAAAGTGATATATTTTGAAAAATTAAAAGTGTCTTTCGAAATTCATCATTACTCTTCGAATTCTTATTTAATATTTTTACTAAAGACTTGTACCTAGTAATTTTATAAATTAGATTTCGCACTTATTTATAAAATGCCGATGAGTTCGTTCGAAGGGGTTTGTGAATTGTGAATGATAACAAACGTACTGATAAGGAGCAAAGCGTCAGCCATTTTGTGCGTATCACAAAGTTGCTGTCATACCTGTTTATTTTGTCATGTGCATTACTGTTAGTATAGTCTTTTCGCGCGTATCGTCAATATCTAGCCGTATAAGGTGTAACTGTATAAGTAATACCTATAGGTGAAAAAATGTCTGAATCTAGCTGTGATGACAACGATGTAAATAAAAATATGTCACCACCTAAGAAAAAATTTAAAAGGTTAGTGAAATTTAATAATAATTGGCTTAAAAATTATGCATGGATAATAACTGCCCAAAATGAATATCAAGCCCATTGTAAATTTTGTCGTTGTAATATCTCAATATCGCATGGAGGTGAAAATGATTTAAAAAAACATGAACAAACAATAAAACACTCCCAATTTGTAAAAAATCAATCAAAACGTATTTCTACCATAACTTCATATATTCCATTATCCACGGAAGAAGATCAAGTATCTGCTGCTGAAACCGCTTTAATTTACCATACTGTTAAACACGCACATAGTTATAACTCGGCCGAATATGCTGGAACATTATTTCATTCATTATTTCCTGATTCAAAATTAACTCCAAAATATCGATGTTGTAGAAAAAAGGCCACCAAAATTGTTAGTAATGTTTTATCACCATATAGTATAGAACACGTTATTATATACATTTACCTATGTCAGTATTATGAATTTGTATTATATAATATTGTTATTAATTTGTATCAGTTGTATTAATTTAAGAATATCCATAATTTTTCATAATTGTTTTACTTTATTATAGATACTAAGATAGATACCTAATCAATTTACAATTTTTTTTTTTTGTCCCGATTCCTGTTTTTTTAATAAAGCGGGACGTCAATATCCCGATTTTTTACAATATTACATTTAAAAAAATTGTGTGTCCCGCGAGTTAAAAAAAATAAAATCCCAACCCTACTAACGATGGACATAACATTAGAGTATATTATATTAATATATTATCCAATATAAAATATGTTCATAATAATATCACATAATATAAATAAAATAAAACTTATATTATTATAAAATAGTATTTGTATAAACGCAGACGTCCGACAACTAGCATGTCAGGTTATGATTATTAATTTGAGCAATACCTAATGGTTATATAACAATACATATATATTTTTTTTTTGTGCATCTTATATTGTCTTGTTAATAGAGATCAAACATAGTTAAAATTGAATATATTAAGTTATAAAATTAAAAACTTTTATGAGATTTAAAAATAAACTGTATGTAGATAGCAAAATGTACCTATGTTTTTTTTTTATTCTAAACAAAAAAATAATTTTTAAATTATAGAAGCTACACTACAATATTAGGCATTTGCCTTAAACAAATACTATAAATGTTATATTTGT